GGAAAGAGAAAAAAAAGAAGGGGGGGGGGGGGGGGGCGACAGAAAGAGAGAGAGAGAGAAGAGAGAGAGAGGCAGGCAGGGGGAAAACGAAGTGAAAGAAAAAATCATCGAACTGAACTCTGCGACAGCATGAACGAGGGAACACAAGTTACCATCCCTCACTTAAGTATTGTCATGTGTCCTTTGTCCTACTCGTGAAACTCACCTTTCCCGCCCGTCCCGCGCCTGCTGCTTACACCCTACCGCGCCCCTCACCGTCTCAACGTCGCTCGGGCTGCCTCTTTGCCAGTTGGGGCCGAGCTACAGTCGACCGTGATCTCGCAGCTTGCTTCTTTCCTGTTGCGGTTCCACCAGGCGAGTCAAGGTCACCTTGGCTTCATTTTGATATTGTTGGGTATATGTAGTCCTCCTTTGCCAGGAAACCTGACGCACGTTAACTGATTACCCCACATTTGAAGTGTATCAGCAGATTATTCTCCAATGTTTGTTTATCACACGAAGGGACTTGTTCGATTTGTTGTGGCGCGCCTGTTTCGTGTACCAGGACGCAAAGATGGAAATCCCTTGCGGTACTTGCAAGTAAAGTTGTGCCTGCCAAGCGTGAAACGTCCGGTTAGCCGGGATGCCCAATCACCCCATGGCATGTCTGGATTGGCACAGCAATCGCAAGGGAACACTACCAGCTTGAGCTTCATCCTTGTGGAACGTACCAGCCTCGGTAGTAGCCTGGGCCGGCGGAGATCGCTCCGTCCCGGCATTGCAGGAATGCGAGGTCAATCGACTACTGGTACACCGCAAGCGTTAGCATGAGTACCCCCCCCCCTCCTCCTCCCTACCCCTTGGCCACAGGAGCGTCGCCAGATGATCCCAGACGCCGTCGCTCTGGGGGAAATTCTTGTCCAGACCGTCGCCGAAGTCGCCGCAGCGCGCGGCGGCGGTAGGGGCGACAGCACCAACAAAAAGAAGAGGAAAAAGAGGAAAAAGAACGCCGCGGGCGGTGGTGGTGGTGGTGCTGTCAACGATGACGGCGTAGTCTCTGTCCTTCGCCTCGGGCCCGACGGCCACCTCCGCCGGGGTACCGTTGGCGGGGCTGCTGCTGCTGCTGCTGCTGCTGCTTCCGGGGAGCAGGAGCAGGACGCGGACGGCCCAGGCGATGCTGCTGCCGGCGATGCTGTAGCCGATGCTGTAGTCGATGCCGCTCCAAGCGATGCTGTAGGCGATTCTGCGGGCGATGCTGCAGGCGGGGGTGCTGCGGGCGGTGATATTGCCGGCGGCGATGCTACAGGCGATGGTGCAGGAGATGCAAACGGCGCAGGAGACGGCCAGGCGGCAGCGGAGGCGGAGGGGGCTGGAGGGGAGGGTGTTGTCGAGGAGGACGAAGGAGGGGAAGAGTTGGGGATGGGGCAGGTTGCTGTGGAGCTCGTGGCCGTGCTTGACCCTCTGTCCGTGGCGGCGCAGAGGGCCTCCACGCTGCTATCACTGGTGAACGGGGTTGTGTTGATGTCGTGTGGAGTTTCGGCTTGAATAGTTGATGGGTTGGGTTGAGCTGTTTCGGCTGGTAAGGGCACCTGGCAGCCGTGGGTATGCGTTGGCAGTGTATGATGGCATGCAGTCGATTGTATACCGCCACGAAAAAATGCTTTCGTCTACATTCCACGTGTGTTTTGTCTGGAGCCATTTTGGTTGTTGATTCGTAGGCTACATGCCCGTCCCCCCACAACCTTTTTTGCCTCCCGCTGCCCCACTGGTCTCCATCTGTCTCTTCGCCGGCACCAAGGATGCGATGAACCCTTTGCTTTTACCCCCATCTCGTCTCTGTCATGTGCAGCTCTTCCCTGTATAGATGAGGAATGAATGATGCGAGGCGCTGTCATGTAAATAGTGCGTTTTTTTGTACACGTGATGGAAAGTTGTCCCACTCACGCGGTGTGTTTTGCTGCTGGGTGCATGCATGCCTCCGTTGCCGTCGCGTGTGCTTGCATCGCAGGCTCAAGAGGTTTTGGGGCTGCCGGTGACGTTGCTGCTCTTGCCCTCCCTGGATGTGAGTTAGCGAGGTGGTTAGACTAAGTAACCACGAACGTTCCCACAAGTCGAAAACAAATTGTCGTGGTTTCCGCATTGGTTGACTTTGACATGTCGTTTACCTAAAACCCTACTGAGCACCTGCCTGCTCGAGTCATGGCTGATGTCCCCTCCTCCTTTGTGGGCTCACAGCTAGTATACGACATTGTTTCTAAGGGCAAGATTAAATCAAATTTGCGTGTGCCGAGGTGAGCGTTTCACAGCGGAAGCTTTTGAGACTTTCACCCGTTCGGTGACCACTCTCAGCATAAGTCAGACCCACCTCTCAAACATCAAGACCTCGTTCCTGTTGGTATGTTGTCAGTTTGATTTTTTTCGCATTCTCCGCTCACGGCACCTTGTAAAGCCTCCTCTCTTGTTGGCTGTAAGAACATTCGGGTTGATTCACTCCACCACGGGGAGGCGACGCAGGTATTATCAGCAGCAGCGCCCATTTTACACTGTTAGGTACGCTTTGTTTGATAGCTAGCGCCAAATCCCTCCCTGTTGAACACGAAAACATGCCCCGGTGGCCGCGCTCACGCGAACGCATACACTCACAGATGGCGCTGACAATACCACACGCTTTTTTACTGTTATGTGAAAAAAAAAAATACGTATGCAATATTCGTGCGTCCAGGTGTCGGAGCTGCCCCTCAAGAACTTCTACCGTCTGGTTCTGGGACCGGCGTCCGGTTCCGTGGCGGCCTTTGACCGACTCCCCGCAAGGGACATCCTGACCCAGAGGCTCGACACGCCCGAGCCGTGGAACGTGCAGGCCTCCGCTGCGCTGCAGGACCTGGACAACCTGCGGTGAGAGGGAGGGGGGAGGGGGGCACTCATGTTTTGGATGCCTTTTGTTGTAGATGATTGGCCACGCGTCATTGAGGGTGCGGGGCATCGAG